CATCTGTAGGGCATTTAATGAAGAATCTTGGCGCAAAATTCAAATCTTAAAATTCTTACAGAAAATGGGTAAAATTTATGAATTTGAATAACTTCTAAAAATTAAATTATAACCCTTCCTGAATTCAATTATTTTTTACAATTTTCAACTAAACTTCATCTCTGAATTAATTAATTTAAATAATTTCTCAAAAGTTCTTCTAAAATTCAATTATTTAAATACAAAAACTCAATTTTTTATAATAATTGTAATTATATAAATATAATAGTTTTTTAATTTTGAAAAATTTCCAAACAATTAAAATTCCATAAAATCTTTTAAAAATAATTGAATTTTTGACGAATATAAATAAAAATGATCAAATTTTTGAAGAATTTTATTACAAAAATAATAACATTTTAGAATTCTTGTTAAAATTTTGGAAAAAACAATAAAGTTCAAAATTTTTAATTAAAATTCAAAAAAATTAATTAGTTTGTTAAATTATACAAAATTTTTTTTAAGAAATTCAATTATTTTCGAAAAGTTACATTAAAATATTTTTAAAAATTAATTATTAGAATTGTTTTATAATAATTTTTTAAAATTCAATTATTTTAGAACAATGGAAATAAAAATTTATGAAAATTTACTTTTTGGACTTATTAAAATTTTTGAGAAATCATTGTCCTTTTTGTAATTAAAAAAAAGATCAAATTTTTGAAGAATTTTAATTACAAACAGAACCATGATTTCTGAAAAATTTGAATAAGTCCAAAAAGTGAATTTTCATAAATTTTAATTTCCATTGTTCGAAGATAATTATTGAACCTTTTAAAATTATTATAAAACAATTTTAATAATTAATTTTTAAAAATATTTTAATGTAATTTTTCGAAAATAATTGAATTTTTTAAAAAAAATTTTGTTTTAATTTAAAAAACTAATTAATTTTTTTGAATTATAATTCAAAATTTTGAACTTGATTGTTTTATCCAAAATGTTAAAAAGAATTCTAAAAGGTTATTATATTTTTTGTAAGTATTTGAATTTTTTAGAAATATGTAATTGAAAATAGTAAAAATATTTTCATTTTTAAATTTACCTTTAAAGATTTTTCATTAAAATTTTTGATATTTCAAATATTTTCAAAATTTGCAATATTAAAATTTTTCAAAAAATTGATTTTCAAAAATTTTAAATAAATTCTTGAAATAAATTAAATATTTTCAATTAAATTTCACAAAATTTCAACTATTCAAAAAAAAAGGTTTTTGGGGTCGTCCATAAATTACGTAAGACATTTAGGGGGGGGGGGTCAGCAAGATTTTACGAACAATAGAAAAAATGGCGCTAATGTATGTAAAATATCTTACGAGAGGGGGGGGGGGAATTTCCAAAAAAAATATCTTACGTAATTAATTCGAAAAAAGTCGCAATTTTTGAAAATAAGTCGAAAAAATCATCAATTTTCTTAATTTTTCTGACAAAAATTTTTTTCCTGACTTTATTGACAAAAAATTTGTTTCCCTGACTTTACTGACAAAAATTTTGTTTCACTGACATTTATACTGATATGTGGCCACCCTGACTGCAAAACTATAAATGAATTGTTGAGTATGGCCTTAAGGTTTCTTAAAATTCTATCTAATGAGTATTATTTCGTTGTTAGAGGCAAACTATTCGAGATGTAAATATGAAAATGTGGATACTACTTATTTTTGCGTTATTTCTCTTTTCTGCTCTTTTCTCTCTCCACTCTCAAGAATTATGTTGATATTCCGTTAATGTATTCAGTGGCCTTTTGATTCTTTCGCTTTATATCTTATTTTAGAATGGAGTGAAGGTCTTGGGGTTTGGAATTTGCGAAAGGATATATTTAATATGGGATCCTTCAATTTTTGTCCTTCGGTCCCCTCGAAATCGATGTAGGTGAAATCAAGTGGGTGAGAGAGAGAGAGAGAGAGAGAGAGAGAGAGAGAGAGAGAGAGAGAGAGTTCACACTCTTTTTCAAAGAGTAAGAGAGAAAGAGAGGGAGAGAGAAAAAAAGAGAAAAAGAGAGTAAGACAGAAAGAGAGAGTGAGACAGAAAAAGAGAGAGAAAAAGAGAGTGAGAGAGAAAGAGAGACGTGAGGAGGTTGAACCGAGAGGCATACGTTTCCTAATTATACGAGCATTTCAAAACCCCAGCCGATGAACCAATATGCTTTTCTGGCTTGCAACATCCCCTTTTCTCTCTCTCTCTCTCTTTCTCTCTTATTCTCGCATGTAACACGAAGTCTCCTTCCCTCCTTTATTTTATCTCACTTATTCTCTCCATCTCCCGATATCTCTTCTCTCATTCCAATCACACGAGCTCTCGAGCAACAGGAATGCGAGTGTAAGACACGATTGGCCAACCAGACAACCAGACCGGACTCACGACATATACATATATACTCGTTTTATCAAGGTGGCAAAATGTTACAAACTTCTCTCATAATCCAACAATATTGTCCACTTTTCCCTTCCTGAACGAAAAAGAAAATTATTTTTCTTTCATCTTTTACAAGATGTTTTTTTTTTTTTCAAAAAACGACAAAAAAAAGTTCTATAAAATATCAAGAAAAAGATCAAACCTCAAAAAATTAAAAAATTATCGTAGTTGAAGAAAAATGATAATTTTTTAATTTTTTAAGGTTTGATCATTTACTTAAAAAGTTGTATTTAAAAAAAATTATCTTTTTCAAAAAAAATTGTGGTATTTTAAAAAAATGTTATTTAAAAACAATTATCTTTTAAAAGAATGGTATTTAAAAAGAATTATCTTCTTAAAAAAATGGTATTTAAAAAAATGGTATTTAAAAAAAATTATCGTATTTCAAAAAAATGGTATTTAAAAACAATTATCGTATATTTAAAAAAAAAAAATTGTATTTGAAAAAAAGAAATATTTTCGAATATTTCCAAAAATATCAACAACAAAAAATTAACAACCAGAAAAGCTAAATATCAATAAAACTTTTGTTACTTTCCTTTTGCAAATTTAATAATTTTTTTAGAAAATTAAAATTTATGTAAAGAAACAAGATTAAGTTGAACAACCTTCAATGAAATTTCACTCGAGGAAATTGGAATGCTGCGAAATATTTTTAAACCACGAATCAGAATATATAGAGAAACCAAAATCGGCCGAATATATATAATATGGGTCGTGTCTGGTCTTTCAAGAAAAAGTTGAAATATCCCACGAAAAATTATAAAAATGACGGTCAAAAATAAATGCTTCTCGAAAATTGCTCGAATCGAAAAGTTATTCCAACAATTATTTTTTTTTTTATTTTGGCAATTTTGAAAGAATTTTTGAAAGAATTGGCTTTACTATTTTTATAAATAGATGAACTTCAAGAAGGTTTTAAATTGAAATTTTTATAAAATTTCAAATTTTGAATGAATTTAAGTTAGAAACTTAAAAATATAAATATTTAATTTAATTATTGAAAATAATGGATTTAAAGATGAATTTTAGTTATAAACACTAAAAAAAAATTGAATTTTGCTTCGCAGAAATTCAATTATGTTGAAATTTTTTTTTAAATTCTCGTCAAAATTTCAATTATTTTTAGAAATAATAAATTCAATTATTTTTAAAAAATTTCTTCAATTCAATAATTTTAAATATCAATATTTTAATAAAGATTCAATTATTTTCAGGAATTTTAATAAAATTCTTTGCAAAATTCAATTATTTTTTATAAATGACTAATATTTATCACAAGAATTCAATTATTTAATTATGTTCAAAAATTTTTTTTAATTCTCGTCAAAATTTAAATTATTTTTAAAAATAATAAATTTCTTCTACGAAATTCAATTATTTTCAAAAATTTTCTTCAATTGAATGATTTTCAATATCAATATTTTAATTAAATTTTTGAAAAAATTCAATTATTTAAAAATTATTTATAAATTTCTTCGCAATAATTCAATTATTTTTCATAAATAATAAAATTTTTGACAGGGATTCCATTATTTTTAGGAATTTTAATAAAATTCTTTGCAAAATTCAATTATTTTGATAAATGACTAATATTTATCACAAGAATTCAATTATTCAATTATGTTCAAAAATTTTTTAAAAATTCTCGTCAAAATTTCAATTATTTTTATAAATAATGGAATTTTTCTTCAAAATTCAATTATTTTCAATAGTAATAATATTTTTTGAAGAGATTCAATTATTTTTATAAATAATTAAACTCATCGCATAATTTCAATTATTTTTTAATACAATTTTAATTGAATTCCTCGAAAAATGTATAATTATGCTTAAAAATTTTATTGAAATTCGTCAAAACAATTCAATTGTTGAAAAATTTGTTGAAAAAATTCTTTATAGGAATTCAATTTTAAGGAAACATTTAATTACTCAATAAATTATTTATTTTTAAATTTATAATTAAATTCCCGTAGAATTTTCTGATAAAAATTGATTTTAAAAATGAATTTCAGTTGAAATTTTAGATAATAATTAAATATTAGAAGAGTTATTGTGTGAATTTTTAGAAATAATAGAATTTTGAAAAGGGTTCAAATTAAAGTCTTTGAAAATTTGAATTGTAAAACAAATGGGTTTGAAAATTCTCAAATAAGAACTTTTTAAAAAATTATTAAAAATAATTGATTTAAAGAAGAATTTTAGTTAAAAATTCTAGAAAATAATAATTGAATTGAAATAACTTGATCATTTTTAATTATAATAAATATTCTCGTAAGTTGTTGAATAATGATTAAATATTTATATTTAAAAAATAAGTTATTGATGTTTTTGGATTATTATTATTATTAATGCTAAATAAATTGTTGTTTAGTGATTGTAAACAACAGAAAACAGAAGTAAGGAAAAATGGAAAGTACCAATAGACGAATTTTCAATAGTAATAATTAAAATAAATAATGAAATAAAAAATTGTTTTAGAAAGTTTTATAAATTAGAAAATAATGGATAAAATGAGATTGAAAAAGAAATAGAAAACAACATACCGAGTTTCATCGGTAAAGACGAATTTCCTAAGTTTAAGATCCCTGAGAACAACTCCTTTCTCGTGGCACTTGGCTACGGCCCTGGCGGCTTGACGGAAAAGTCTCCGCGCCTCCGGTTCCCGTAGCCTTCTACGCGCCCTCACGTAGGCGTGTAGGTCGCCGTAGTGACCCTCGAGGAGAAGGTATCGTCGACCTCCTGGTACATCCACCACACCTGCTATTCCGCTCGTGGCTCCAGTACCATCCAGCCGCAAGTGCGCTTGCAAGAGAGCTTCATCTCCCTTATCTCCCGGTGTCAGGGCCTTAAAGAAAAATTATTTCTATTATTTTTACGCATTTTTTTTTTTTTTTTTTTTTTTAATATCCGGGACGGGGAAGTTTATTACGAAAGCAAATTATCCTCTTTGTGGACTATTAACTAACTATTAATAATAGGTTTTTTTTGTGTCTTATTTGCTTCACTTTTCTTCATCTCGATTTTGCCTGCAATGAGTTTCGTGGCCATCTGTTGGGCACAGTTTGCGTAAGGCAGTTGGCGGTAAAATTCAAATTTTCTAAAAAAGAAACCGAACCTTTTTTTACTACTTTTTTTACGATTAGCTACTATATTTAGATACTTTTTTGTTGTTACACTAAAAGCTACTTTCTTCCATGTTTAAAAATTTACACTACTTTAAATTTGTTAACAGTTGAAATAAAAAAATTATTTTAAAAAATTTTAATAAAGTTATTGCAAAAAAATTCAAAAAATTTTAATAAAATTCTATTAAACGATTCAATTATTTACGATTTAATCAATTATTTAAATAGATTTTTATAAAATTCTTCCAAAGAATTCAATTATTTTTATAAATAATAAAATTCTTCTCAGAAATTCAATTATTTTTTTTTAAATTTTAATAATAATAATCGTTGCAACAATTCAATTATTTTTATAAATATTAAAACTCATCGCTGGATTGAAATTATTTTGAAAAGAATTTTACAGAAATTGCTCAAAAAATGTAATTATTTTTAAAAATTTAATTTTAATTTTTTGAAAAAATCAATTATTAAAAAAAGTTTTTTTAAAAAATTCTTTGGAAGAATTCAATTATTTACAAAAAATATTCGAATTTTTCACAGGAATTCAATTATTTTCAAATATTTTAATAAAGTTGTTCGAAAGAAATAAATTATTTTAAATACAATTTTATTTAAATTTTTTTAAAAATAATTCAACTATTCTTTTAGATTTTAATAAAATTCTTCTCAAGAATTCAATTATTTACATAAATAATTCTTCCAAAGAATTCAATTACGTCGATATATAACAAAATTATTCCCGAATATTTAAAACAGAATTTTCCTAATATTTTTCGAAAAAAAATCAATTATTTAAATAGACTTTTAGAAAATTCTCCACAAGAATTCAATTATTTTTATAAATAATAAAATTCTTCTCAGGAATTCAATTATTTTTATAAATAATAAAATTCTTCTCGGGAATTCAATTATTTTTAAAAATTTTTAATGAAATTCTTTATAATAATTGAATTGTTTTCAATATAATTTTAATAAAATTTGCTGAAAGAATTAAATTATTTTCATAAATAATATACAATTTTCATAAAATTTTTTGAAAAAAATCATTTTTAAAATTTCTTTTTAAATATTCTTCTCAAGAATACAATTATTTTAAAAACTTTATTAAAGTTCGGTGAAAAAAATTTACTTATTTTCATAAATAACAAAACTCATTGCAGGATTTCAATTATTTTTAATACAATTTTAAATGAATTCCTCTAAAACGCAATTATTCTTAAAAATTTGAATAAAATTCTGAGAAAAAATTCAATTATTTAAAAGAATTTGATATAATTTGTTTCTTAGATTGTAATAATTATTTTCAATTCATTTTTAATTATATTTCTTGAATGAATTTAATTATTATCAAAAATTGTAATTTGTAATTCAATTATTTTTAAAAATGTTGATAAAATTCTTTATAAGAATTCAAATTTAAGAAATATTCAGTTATTCAATAAATGATTTATTTTTGTATTAAAATAATTTTATTCTCGTAGAACTTTCTAATAAGAATTGATTTAGAATTGAACAAAATAAAATGATTAAAGTTTTGAATAATTTTCTTTATAAATTTAAAAAAAAAGAAAAAGATTGATTGAGTTTTGAAAAAATTACTTTTGTAATTTTTAGATTTCAAAAATGCGTTACATTGAAATCATTTGAAATAGTTTAATTCCTTTAGACAAAATAAATATGTATTTAAATATTTATTTTAAAAAATTATTCTATTTTTGAATGTAATTAAGAAATTATAAAAAAAATTTAATCGACAAGTTTAATTTTTAGATAGCTATGTACTTTTTTACTACTTTTTTTCTGTCTTTAAGATACTTTTTGCTACTTTTTTATAATTTAATTATCAAGTACGAAGCCTGTTATTTGAAAAAAAAATTTAAAAATTAATTAAATTCATTTTTTGAAAAATAAAATTCTAATTTTGATTCAAAAGCAAAAATTTTTAAAAATACGACATAAAGTTGAAGAAACCTTCTAATATACGTAAAAGTAAATAGATTCTACTTAAACAAGTGGTGAATAGTAAACATTTTATTTCTCAATAACGTTAATATTCCTTTATTATGTTGCAATAATACTAATTTATTATATTAAAGTCATTGACTTAAGTTATTAAAATTTTTTGGTATTGTCACAGAATCGAAATTTCGATTCTATTAATTTTGACACCGATTACGATTGTTCTTCTATATAAATATTTGAAATTTGTCAGTGGCTATACTCTACAAATACTGAATTTTTTTTTATTTAATATGCCTTATAACGATTGTTGGCTCAATTTCTCAAAACATCCAAACCCTTATTAAATTTACGTTTCTATTACGAAACGACAAATGTGGCCTCGATATTTCGACACTGAAACTCTGCGACTTAAATATGATGGGGTTTCAAAATCAGCAGCTTCGATTTCGATTTACTTATCTCAGTTTGCTGATGATGTCTGATGATATACTCCACTTGATTTACGAAATACTTTGTGGCAAAAAAGTTAAAAAAAAAAAAGAAGAAATAGAAAATATATCTCTAGAAAAAATAGGAACTCTTTCCATCTTCTTGTTAGAAAAGCGAGATAACTATAAGTCGATATCATTTATAAATCAACAAAGTAATGAGGAAAAATTCTCCTAAAACAATAATTTCATAAAAAAAAAAGTTGACAGTTTTTTTTAATAGTCAATATGTCAGAGCACGTGATTCATTAGTCGTTTCGTCATAATAAAGAAAAAAAGTCGCTAAGATAAAATGATGAGACATATTATACTTTTAAAATTAGGAGAAAGAATGTGGATTTTTATAAATTTTCGAAATTTTATTCAATTGCTTCTTTAAAATTATTTCTTAAAGGGTTTTATCAAAAGTTCTTTAAGCAGTATTTTCAAAAATACTTTTAACATTATTTACAACAATACTTTTTCTCAGAAGTATTTTAATAGTACTTTTCATTAAAAGTTTTTAAGTATTTTTTATCAAAAAACTTTTTAAGTACTTTTTATCAAAAGTATTTTAAAAGTACATTTGCAAAAAGTATTTAAAAGTACGTTTTATCAGAATTATTTTAAAAATATTTTTTATCAGAAGTATTTTAATAGTACTTTTTATCAGAAGTATTTTAAAAGTATTTTATCAGAAGTATTTTAATAGTACTTTTTATCAGAAGTATTTTAAAAATATTTTATCAGAAGTATTTTAATAGTACTTTTTATCAGAAGTATTTTAAAAGTATTTTATCAGAAGTATTTAAAAAGTACTTTTTATCAGAAGTATTTAAAAAGTACTTTTTATCGAAAGTATTTTCAAAAAGTACTTTTTTCAAGAGTAAAGTTTAAATTTTATTAAAACTCTTGAAAGTTTGATTTTTTTAAACATTATTCTCAATGTTCTATTGTAATTTTCAATTATTGTTCATTTTTTTTCTAAAATTAATCGACTGAAATTTAATTAATAATTAACGCGTTCAGAGCGTGCCGAACGAATCGTTTTTGTACACATTTTATCAACGACCTAATAATACTTTTTCTCTTTAATGGAAACCAATTACCGTCAGACCGGATGTCTCTAATGACCTTGAACCCCCCGCGGGTGGTATTTTCGACAGGAAATGAAGTACACGTTTCTATTGATGATTTGATGAAATTTTAGAACCTGAGAGACTTTATATAGAAGGCAACAAATTGGCGTTTTGTCTACAATTTATTAATATATTTCAATTTGTTTCTCTCACTAATGAAAAGTACACTTTTTTCTCGAAGGTTATACAAATTGACACCGAATTTGATCAAATTGGTAGCAAATTGGATTAAATTGATACCAAAAATTTGGATCAATTTATGATTTCATCCAAAATAATGAGTATCGATTTGTTTTTGCAATTTGGTACTTTTTGGTTAACGGTGTAAATTAATAATTTAATTACGGTAATAACAATAATTACTCTAAATAGTGACAATAAATAAATAATAAATTTTTATATAATATACATTTTTATTTTTCTCAAATAAATTTTATCTGCAGTTTAAAAAACTGTTATTTAGCTCTAAAAATTCTATTTGGTTCAAAAAAAAAATGTTTGGTTCGAAAAATTTTGATTCTAATGAATTTTATTTGTTGCAAAAGGTTTTATTTGGCTAAAAAAATTTTATTTAGTTGCAAAAAAATTTTACTTTGCTTCAAATAAATTTTATTTGGTTCAGAAAAATTAGTTTGATTCGAAAAATTTTTATTCTAATGAATTTCATTTGTTGGAAAAGGATTAATTTGGCTCAAAAAAATTTTAATTAGTTGTAAAAAATTTTAATTTGCTTTAAATAAATTTTATTTGGTTCAAAAAATTTTATTTGGTTCAAAAAAATTTGTTTGGTTCAAAAAATTTTATTTGGCTTTAAAAAAATTGTATTTGCTGCTCAAAAAATGTGGTTTATCTCAAAAAATTTTATTTGATCAAAAGAAATTTGTTTGGTTTAAAAAATGGTGAATCTAATATAATTTATTGCGTTCAAAAGATTTTATTTGGCTCAAAAAATTGTATTTAGTTAGAGAAAAAATTTTTATGTTTCAAACAAATTTTATTTGTCTTAAAAAAAATGTTATTTGTTACTCAAAAAATTTTGTTTCGCTCAAAAAATGTTATTTGGTTAAAAAAAAAATTTGTTAGCTTCAAAAAATCTTGATTTTAAAGAATATTTATTTGGTTCAGAAGTTTTTTTTTTACTCAAAAAAA